TATTTTAAAAAAAACTTTTTTAATAGTGAGGGACATTTGAATTATGTCCTCGCCTTTAATTTAGGGACCCATCTTTATAGTAGACATTTCAAAGGATTCAGTTGACTTAAGCTGCCAAATCTAGACAAAAACTGCCAAGTAGGATGCAACTTCTACATGCTCGATAAGCCATCAATACTGTCATATAACCCATATGTTAGTGTCCATATCATTGTTCATTTATTTAATATTAGTATATAATAAGTTATTGGTGATAATATTATTGTTGTTGTTGTTGTTGGCATTATTGTAATAATCAATAATACAATTTTGATGACTTGTGATTGGTTGGAATATAGTGTTGATTTTTTGATAAGAGTAAACTAATTTCAGTTTTTGTTATAAGAGAAAAGAAAAAAAATTGTATCTATGTATATAAGTGAAAAAGATATTAAACCAAAGATCTTTCTCTATACAATCTTCATCCACAAGGTATCCAGTCTTAAGAAATTCAATCAAGAGCCCTATCCTTATGCAGCTTGAGTCTTTACTAAGGTTCCTAATGATATTATTTCAGTATTAAGTCAGTACTGGATTTACTATAAGTTTAATATAATGAATTACAACCCATATATTAACTTTATTATAAGTTGATATCAAGTTAATACCATTTCGATACTTGGTTCGGAACCCTAGTCTTTATAATCAAACTCTTAAAATTAGTTCATTTTAACAAGTCTTTAATGCATGATATTAAATCTAAAAGTTTAATTTTTTTGAAATAGAAAATTTTACATCAAATATCAATCTAATATATTAATTCTCTAATAATAAACCTATAGTATTTTTATCTGCTGAACAATTTTATTTAGAACTTGGAAAAAAGTTTTGATCACCACTTTTGCAATAATCAAGGATTTCGGTCAAAAATTTATAGTATTCAATCAAAATATATTGTTATAAATACAAAGGATTAAAAAACATGTTACAAATTAGCCTTTAATTAATTTTTTCATATTTGTATTATTTATTATTCTCAATAATTTAGCACATCAATTATATTCTTTATTTCTTTTTATATAAATAGAATAATTATGAATTTCATATACAAGGAGAGAAAATGAGAAAGAAACTATAAGAAAATTGTAAAGGAAATGGAAAGAGACTTGTAGAAGAATTAAAGGTAGAATTGATAAAATTAGGAGTATAATAATGTTTTGATAATAAACTGTTTTTACAAATTATCACAATTATATTTGTCTTTATATAATTATAATTATTACACCTTTTGTCTTATGATCTTAGAAATCTCAAGTATATTCTCTATAAACTATAATATACTATATTGGCTTTTGCCATTCAAAGTGTCTTCCTACTATCAGTTTTCCATCCTATACTGGTCTTTGATATTGGATTGACATATGACAATAGGAAGCTTTTTGTATTGGTATTGATAAAAGTAACTTTTTGTTTTGAAGAAGTGGAGCTAATCTTTTATTCAATAAGTCCAGGATTTGACCTTCTGCCCATAATACCTGAAACTACTCAACCTAAATCTTTTAGGCTATAGCAGAAAGGAAACAACCAGTTGACTTTTTTAAAAAAGAATTTTTATTTTTAGTAGTGATAAAGGAAGAGAAAAAGTTTCTTTTTAAAAAAAAAAATAACTTGACAAGTCCTCCAATACTTGTCTCATTAAAATTTCCTAAAAAGGAAAGTTTTTCAAAAATTTGAAGGAAATAGAAAAGAGTTTATCTATATACTATTAATTATTTAAGTATAAGTTACTTATTATATTATATCTTTTTGCTCATATAGCATATACAGTAACAGAAGCTTTTGATACAAGTATATACTTCCTAATAAATACTCTGATTTTAACTACTGATTGAACATTATCAAATTTAAATGCCAAATGATTAAGTAGAACATGATTCTTTAAGAATTTATATAAATACAATATTTGTAAAGCACTATCTATAGATTAATTCTTATTCTTCTAATAGATACTTCAGATTTGAATCAGTTAATATAAGCTATCAAATCTAAAAGTATAAATATCAAGTAATATATAACTTTTACATACTTTGTCTTATAACATGATAGTTATATTTTTATATAAGTAGTATCAATTCAGTACTTTACTTTAAGACTTCTTATTTAAGCAACTAATAGATAAAGAAATTAATAATTGAAATTGATTAAGATGAAGTATAGCCTAGTCTGTATATTCAAATATAATATTGTTTATATTGTATAATAGATTGTGAGGCTTAATCAGAATTAAGTCAGAAGTTTTTCTTTATGCAATCCTTTTTCTTTTTTGTAATCTTTTGTAGCCTTAAGATTACAAGAAAGGTTAGAAGTTATATTTTTATACAATCTAATTAAGAAAAAAATATGATAAATTATTGTAATCAGGCAGGTTTAAATCTTAAACCTTCATTTAATAACTTATGAAGCTTTATCACTAAGCTATAAATCTATAGATCTTTATTAAATAAACTTATTCTTTATGTTTTTAAATAAATAAATATATATATATATATATAATAAATAATATTTATAATATTATAAAGCAAAAAAAAATACAAAAGAACAAAAAAAATAAAATAAATTAATATATATATTTTTTTATATAATTAAAAAGTAAACAAAACTTTTAAACTTGAATAGATTTCAATTAACAATCTTATTTTATGTATTATATTAGTTATTTGGAATATTTTTAAGTTAAGTTAAAACTTATATATTTGTAATGAAAAACATAATTAAAAGAAAATTTTTTGTATTTTAATTATTATTTTAAAAAATTTTTAATACTGATTAATTAATTATTGTAAGCAAATTAATATTAAATATATTGCATTTATATATAAGAAATATAATTTGTTTCAAGATATCATGCTGTATACAATATATTAAATAAAGAAACAATATTTATTTATAATAATAAAAATTGTTTGTTTTTTTTTGAATAAAAGATTAAAGTTACAAAGATTAAATCGAATTAAATTTTATTTATTTAATTAGCAAAAAATATACATACAGTATACCCTTTTTTGAATTGATAAAAGATAATATAATATGCTTTTTATAAGATAGCACATGATATTGGATTGTTTACCTTCCAAAAATGGAGGAATTATTAGTACGCGAAGTATAAAAAAATTTTTATTCTATATTTTCAAATTAGATTTTTTGTGGCGTTTCCATTATAATGCATACGGTTTGACCAATCGATAAAAGTGTTACAAATAACTTATTTTCATTCTTCGCACACATCGACTTTTGCCAGTTATGACGGACAAATTGCCACCGAATTTGCTAGCCCTCTTTGCGCCGAGGCCACCGCTTCCGTATTCAAAGCCATTAGATAGAGATCCAGCAAAGCGCAAGGGTCCTACAATTTCTGGAATCGGACAGTACCTTACATTATTAAAAGATTATGATCCAAACTATGTACCAACTGAAACGGTTGAGGAAAAAAAGAGACGTAAAGTGAGTAGTGACGTCATAAACATTATCACGACATCTAGTCTAACTTGTATTTTATTTAAGCTTGCCGAAAAAAAACAGCGAGCAGAAGAAGCAATCAAAAAAGGCCTCGAGGAATGTAAGTAATATTGTCTTAGTTCCTGCTGAATTTTTCTTAATTTTCAGAAATTTAATTCATCGTACATATTGAAAAGGGGATCCTAATAAAGACGAAAATGTGACTGGTGATCCCTTCAAGACCTTGTTTGTTGCTAGAATGGTAAAATCCTCAAAAAATATATATATCTTCATTCATAAAAATTTTTGTTAATTATTTTATCATTTTTTCAGAGTTATGAAATGACCGATAAAGATTTACGCAGAGAGTTTGAAATGTATGGTCCTATTGAGAATGTCAGTAAATTTAATTCTTGTTTTTTTTGTTGATTTTTATGAATCGTTTAGTAAATATCTAAAGAAAAAAAATTGATGCAGATACGAATCGTGAAAAATAAAGAAAATGGGAAACCTCGAGGTTATGCGTTTGTTGAATTTGAAAGAGAAAAGGACATGAAAGGTAAATTACAAAATATCATCTTGACCTTAAATAAAATTCGCGAATATATATATATCAAATTAGTTATATTGTTTTATACACTGAATCAACAGCTGCTTATAAAGATGCAGATGGCGTCAAACTTTTGGGTCGACGAATTCTTGTTGATGTAGAACGTGGCCGAACTGTTAAAGGCTGGAGACCTCGTCGTCTTGGTAAGTTTTCAATTAAGTATTCTTTTCTATTTAATATATTCTCTAATCTATCTTAATCAATAAAGGTGGTGGACTTGGGGGAACACGGATAGGAGGACCTGAACAAAATCAGAAGTATTCCGGTAGAGAAGGATCTTATGCCGTTAACGCAGGTCATCCTTCATCCAGTTCAGGATACGATAAGGACCATCGCTCTAGTTATTCTTCTTCTTCCCGTGGAGCCTCTGTACCTTCAAGCACAGGATATGGGTATAGTGGAAGTAGTAATGGTAATAAATATGGTGGCAGACATAGTAGTGGTGGATACGGAGGTAGTAGTGGTTACGATCGTGATTATAGACGACGTCGAAGCCGCTCACGAAGTCCTAGAAGAGACGATAGGTATTCAAGAGATAGGAGGAGGGATCGCAGATAATTAATTCTGCGCAAATGGGCAATGTTTATTGATGTTAGGTAAAAGCGGTTAACTGGTTGTAAGTTATGTTATATCCGATTGGTTAAAATTGAACCCGGGTTCTTCAGACACGGTTTGTATGCAATCAAACCATGTTATTCATATTAGCCAATCCATTTGGCAGTTTAGGACAAGATTCGAGACCAAAAACTCGCTGTTCTTAATGTTATAGAAAATAGGTGAAATCATAGGTAAAAATAGGTAACATTGGTTATTTGCTTGCTACATTTTTTTTCTTTTCTGTTTCATTTTGTGGGTAAGTTGGGTAAGTGTTTACGAATACATCAAAAAATGAAATCTATTTTTGGTTGTCTTGCTATCGACATCGGATCGGGTTAACATCAAGCAGACAATCGTATAGGTAAATTTAAAATGAGTAGGTTTTGAGTGTTATTGTGTATAATGATAAAAATATATCATGTTCAAGATAGGTTATGAGATGCTTTTATTGTTCGTATCGATCTACACGTTCTTATAAAAACGGAGCCATCTCGAGTGAGGTCTTTGTTGATACCCAGTTTATTTATTATTTGCTTTGTATTGAAACGTTGAAAAAAACGGTAGGTGAAACATATGTGAAAGACATGGTTGAAGTCCAATACACCCTGCCCTTAAGTTACATTTGGCTTAGCATGTCTAGAAGTCACAGTACGAATATGAATCAGTTATACAGTGTATTCTATTTGGATACTATATTGTTGCATCATATTTCAATATAAATGCTGCAATTATTGGTTTTAATGTGTATGTTCCAATTACAGCATATACTTTGTAAGAAAAATATAAATGCATCAAATGAATGGAACATATAAAATTTTAATTACATTATCAAAGTCAAATATAAATAATAATTATTTAATATATTATTTATTGAATATATAAAATAATTATTTTTTATTTTTTAATATATCAATAAAAATTATAATATTCATAAAATATATTTAAATTATATAAATTGTTTAATTTCAATTAATAATAAATTTTTAAAAAATATTTAAAAAACTATAATATTAATAAAATATATTATTTTAATTTTTACTTTCAAATAAGATATTCAAATAGGTAAATATATATGGTTTATTTTATTTTATTTTTATTAGTATTAAAAATTTTAAAATATAAATTAAATTAAAAAAAATAAAATATTATTAAATAAATTTAATTAATATAAGAATAATTAAAATTTTGTTAAATGTATTTTCTTTCTAATATTTATTTAAAATTAATAAATATATGTATATGTATTAATAAAATATTATTTTCTACATAACTTATAATAATTTAATAATTAATATTTAAAAATTTTTTGATTTATTAATTTTTTAAATAATAGCTAATATTTTAATATGGAATTTAAAAAAAATTATATAGAATACAAGAATACAAAATCTGACATCATAAAATTGAAATAGACGTTGTTCAATTGGGTGAATTTATTGGCTACGATTTAATGGCCTGAGATATGCAATGTGGTATAAATTAGAATAAATTACTCTTCTCATTTTTTGTTGCCTCTGAAAACAATTACTCGATATGTGCGTAATTACTTACGAATATACGTATAAATAAATTGGAAAATTCGGAATGGAACGCGAGAACAAGGGAGGTTTTCGGCCACTAATTTGATTACAGTGTAACAAAAACATCGTATATTTCAATCTACCGAGAGCCGATAGAGCCTATCGCCATCGTTCCGTGTTTCTTCAGACGTAATCACGCAATATGCCTTCCGTATTGAATTTTAAAAAGTTTCCATGATCACGTGTCTCTATAAATATATATATAAAACCCAAAACTTTTCGAAGCGCGAACTTATTTCCGTGAGACAATTCTATTTTACACCAAATTATTGAATATGTCTGAAGTTAACCCAAACATTTCAAAACCAATTATTCCAAGTGAAGATAAAACTTCACACCTCCAAATCGTTGAACCTGAAGCTGGGGATAGAGGTGTTAAAGGTGTTTATTCGATTTTTTTTTTTTTTTTGCTGCATAATTTACATAGTAATATCTACCATTGAGAATAAATATAACGGCTCGAACTCACCCTGCCTCCCTTTATGTTAGAACAAAATATTGTGAAAACGGAAGATAATTTTGAATTCAATAGATTTCAAGATGATTTGGAATTAGCAGAATTTGAGACACGCAGCATAGATGAGAATCGTGCACCATGGAAGCCTCAAGGCCCTTGGTATCATGATGTCACGAAGAGAAGATGGTTCGCTTTCGCTGTCATTGGAAGTTTATTAGTCATCGTCATTATTGTTGGTAATGTATTTGATATAAATTGACCCAAGGCAATTAATTCACATTTTCGTCTACTAAACTATTTATCTATGCTTTTCCTCATTATAGTGCCCGTGACTGTCGCACATGCAATAAAGGATAAATAATAAGCTGTATTATATTGGTTGTGATGACGTCTAATAGTCTCAGATTCTTTATGAATTTTGTGTTTTGTAATATACATAAACTTTTTCTTAATTTAGCTTTTTGGAAATGCGTTAATTGCATTTCATCCGTGCATTCAAACTTATACGAATATTTTCGAATCAAAAACATATAACTTAAAATTATATTATAAAAGGTTAAGAATTAGAAAACTTTCTATTCAAATCACTGGTCTTACTTACAATATAAACAATATAATGAAATGTCATTATAAGTACTTTTAAAGCTGCGTGTTCGTTTGAAAATAGGTAATAATATTATTATTAGAATATAAATATTAAGATAAATATATGGTATATGATAAAATTTCATACATATTATTTAAATAAGTATGATATTTATTTAACTTTTTAAAGAAAAATAATCTTTACGATTTTTAAATGTAATTTTAAAAAGGAAAAATTTGTTTCTCTTAAATTTCTTTCTATATAAAAGAGAAAAATCAGAATGGTTTTAACTTCAGTTTTTTATTCATAATTCAATAACTAATTAATAAAATAAAATAAAACTTTACAAATATATTTTTGAGAATATAAGATATAAAGTTATTTAAAAAATTTTTTAAAATATATTAATAGAATTTTATTAGATATTGCTTTTTTTTTTAAAAAAAAAAATAATCTATATTAAAGAATTTTAAAGTTATTTTAATATATAAATTTATTAAATAATTTGATTAAAATTAATTAAAAAATAGAAATTTTGTATTAAATTGTCATTTTGAATTTTTAAAATCAAATTTATTAAATAAAAATTAAAATAACTTTATTAAAATTATTTATATATTAAAAAAAATCTTTAAAAATTTTTTTATAAACTAAATATATATTTTTTATTTTTAATTAATTTTTTTTAAAAAAAATTCTTATAGTAAAAAAACAATATATATATATATTTAAAGAAACAGATAGTTCTTATACTTTATTTTTATTTATACTTTTAGACTTGCAGTATAAGATTTATAAATCTATAGTATGATATACATATGTCTCTTTTTGTTAGGAAAAGTTAAATACAATGCTTATCAAATGTAACCCTTTCATCTAAGTTTCTTAGCACCACTCAAGAATATAGAAAAGTAAATTTTAAAATCTATATTAAGCCTTGAATAACATATAGCTATCTAGAGAATTTTAATTACTTAAAAAAAACAATATTTTCATTTCTATCTATATATAAATCTATATTAAAAAATTTTTAATAAATTTTTATAACTAATATTTTAACTTTAAATTAAAATTTTAATTAATTATCTTATTAATTATATTATAAAAAAGTAATTTAAAGATTTTATTTTAATTTAATTATTATTTATTAAATTATAATAACAAATATAATTCCAGTTATTTTTATTTCATATTGTATATAATATATATAATATATTGGTTTTTATTTAATTAAAAAATTAAATTAATTAAATTAATTAAAAATTATAATATTAAAAAATTTATATATTTAAATATCAAAATATTTTTTTAATTATTTTATTTTAAGATTAAATGACATTAGATACAAATTTTTTATTAATATTTAATATTATCTATTACATTAAATATCTTTTATAATACATGATCACAATTAAATACTAACCTATCAATCTTGTATATTAATATCAAGGTACCTATTGCTTTATAATTTTTTTTTATGATATCAAGGGTTATAGAAAGTAAAAATTTTATTACTAGTTTTAAACTACTTAACCTATAGAGCTTATATATATATAAAGACCTATACTGTTAATTTATCTTTGTAAGTCATCTATTATTTCATACTTTATATATACAGCTCATAAATATAGAGAAGCTATCAATGCAAGTATATATTTCTTAATAAATACTCTAATTTTGACTGCTGATTAGCACAAACCATCAAATCTAAGAGCCTTATGATTAAGTGAAATACAATTCCTAAAAGGTCTTAAACCTTAAATCTTCTAGTAAACACTTTAAGATTTGAACTGGTGGGTATAAGCTATCAAATCTAAAAGTATAAATATCAAGCAAGGCACAACTTTTACATACTTTATCTCACCATATAGTAACCATACTATTCCATAAGAATAAAAATAGCAATTCTGTTTAATTTCAATTTTCAGAACTATACTTAATATATATATATTTGATCTATAGGTTTATAATACAGTAATTAGTACTTCACAAGTCAGATTACAAAATACCAGTTCAATTTTAAATGAAAATGGTTAAATAGTATTTATATAATATTTGACACCATAACCAATTAAGTACTGTTTCTTATATGAAGTTATTTTATATGTTGATTTGGTGAATGTTAAGATTGTGATCTTCAGAAAAGAAGTTGTGATATAATAATTATCTGATTATGTCACAATGATCACCAGAAGTAACTTATAATAATTGGATAATATAATAAGCTAAAGAGCATATGTTTAACTTCTCTAAT